CACACACACACACACACACACACACACACACACACACACACACACACACACTCACACATCTACTAGCACACATAAAGTAGTAGGCACGTAATCTTGTGTGACATGCCTCCCTCACATTGTGTTCCCCAGACGCTGCCTCCAACTCTGTCACCACAGCTCCCACCCCAGGTATAGTGCAGCCAGTGGGTCCAAACACACAGTACGTCCGCCCAGTAACTTGGGAACCTCTCGTGACACGACCTCCACCTGTGGTCACACAGAACCCTTGGGCTGGCAACCCCACACAGAACCCCACCATACAAAACCCCACACAAATCCCAACACAGAACCCCATACAAAACCCCACACAAATCCCCACACAGAACCCCACCACACAAATCCCCACACAGAACCCCTGGGCCGGCAACCCCACACAGAATCCCATACAATACCCCACACAAAATCCCTGGGCTGGAAACCCTACACAAAATCCCACACAAAACCCAACACAAAACACCTTTGGTGGAAACCCCACAGGGTACCCTCCAGTCGCTGCCAGCCCAACCAATTCAGGCTTACAGCAGGGCCCTGGAAACTCTGGTAAACACCATGAAGCTACATTCTAGCAGGCACATAGCGAAACACACATATAGCGAACAGATTTTCACGCCCTGACTGTTTTCTTAAAGCCTACATAATGCATATTCTTTCTATTTAAAACATGTAAATATGAACATTAGAAAATAATTAAAAAACTGCCACATTCTTCCGGTTTTGCTATGTGCACGCTAGACTGTATTATACTTTAAGCATGTCTAATTTGATAAAAATGTAAATTTTAACCCTCAGTTCTTTAATTGAGAGTGGGGTCCTTGGAAGTGCATAGCACAGGTTAAGGTTGTCCCCAATGAAGAGCTTATGATTACTTTCTAACTATAGATAGTTTTTCCAATGCCTCTAAGACAGGCCTGTCCTGCCTATTGAAAGTAATAACATGGAGTTAACTTACATTGTAAAAGAGGCTTATCACATTTCCGTTTTAGTGTTTAAGCCTATGAATTTCAGGACTTTGTAATCTTTCCAGTACAGTTTCATGACACCTTTGCCAGTTCAGTCAGGTGGAGACAAATACAGGCAAAGCACTAGAAGGGGTCGTAACTACCGTTTTATTGTTTGATATTTTTTACTATTTTGTGGTGAAGTATTGTTTTAATTTCTCCCTGATTCTTCTATTCCCATATAAATGGCAAAAAAACTAGTTGTGTCGTCTGCCTGTTCCCTTTTTCTTGGTTCTTTTCTTAACTCATTAAGGACAAAGCGGACACATATGTCCGACAGCAACAGATCAAAAGCAACGTTGCAGGATGTTTCAAATCATCATACAGACTATAATGGCGTTCATATGACCTTATGCAGTTGCGAGCACCATAAAACCCTCTACTATAAAAAAAAAATACTGACTATAAGCTCAAGTTTGGATATATTATAGTGTACGTTATAGTTTTCTGTCTTTTTAAGTACCAGATAAAGGAAACAGAATTGAAAACTGCTTATGAGTAACAAAGTTATGCTTCTTTTAGTATTCCGGAACATCTTGTCTTCAAGCATTTGAATGAACAGAACGCATGTCCGCAATGAACTGATAGTTTTCTAACATCAGAAGTACTCCGTGTTACAGAAACTTTTCAATAGTAAATACATCTGTATTACAAAAATAAATCTGCTTATTGTACCATTTGCCATTGTCTTTTTTATAACCTGATAAATGCAAAATGTCTTCATAAAAAGTATTAGGTGGTGGCCAATATCATAGAAACAAAACTGCTCATCTTGTCATCTGCTACCATCTAATTTCTATGTACTGGAACAGAACTATGCCTTGTACCATATGCCGCCAACTAATTTCTTTGGTAAATGTATCATGTCTTAAAATGTAATGAAGTAGGCAGTGGCCAATTTTACAGAAAAAAAACTACTTCTTGTACTATTTGCCACAATGTAATTTCTATGATAAATGCATCATGTCTTTAAATGCCATGAATTAGGCAGTGGTCAAATTAACAGAAATAAAACTACCTATTGCACCATCTGTCATATTTCAATTCTTACATAAATGTTTCTTGTTTTCAGGCAACAGCTCAGGCTCACTTGGTGGCGGCCCAGTCGCTGGCATCGTGATAGGAGTCATGGCTATGGTCGCTGTTGCGGCAGTCGCTGCCTTTGTGATTCGCCGCCATATGCAGAACCGCTCCGTGAGAGGCAGCCTCAGTTTCACCTCTAGGGGTTTCAATAACGCTACTTACAGCAGTGAAAGTGGAGACGAGGCAAAGATATCTTCTGATGCGTGATGGGCATTGAAGTAGACATTAGTGTGGAATTACATATTATGTTCATTTACAAGCACACACACATGCAGACACAAGCGCACATGCACACACAGGAATACACACACGTGCTCTCTTGCATGCATGCATGCATGCAAACTCGCAAGCACAGACACAGACACAGACACACAGACACGTACACATACAAACAAACACATACACATGGATTACATGTTATTTTGATTCATTTTGTCTCATTATAATGAATATTTGTGTAGATGTCATTTATGAAATAACATACATGCATACATACACAACATCATATGTGTCACAACGCAGTGAAATCACATTCTCGTCAATTTCTGGGCATAGGACATTAAACTGGTAGCATTTTAAAGCTTGTTCAATTGTCTTGTTTTCAATTAAGAAAATTCCCTTCTATCTTGAATAGAAGCCAAGATACTTAATTGCGACTGCAGAAGGTAGGGGGTCATGACGTAGTTTCAGAGGTAAAATTAGTTTGGTAACTTCCATAGCTTAAAAGTTCATGGAAACTGAGAAATTACAGTTCTTGTGCCCTTAATCAACATTTTTCAATAAATTCCGTCTTGAAATGAGTTTTTTAATCCAATTTAAGGTGATGAGCCAAAAAACACAATTTTGATAAAAATTGCTAAACTGGCAGGGAAAAATACTGGTGTCTTTGATTTCTGTGTTTTTAAGAGCGCCTGGTTTCTCCGCGATGACTCACATACATGTTATGACTACTGCCCTTGAAATAGAGATTTAAACTTAATAGAAAAATCCACCAAGTGTTCCGTCTTGATTCATTTTCTCTTTCTCTCTTCTATTGGATCACCCAGAAGCCAAAATTCTGAAACTCCTTATAAGGTGTTGAGTCAAAAAACAAAAAATTCAATAGAAATTGCCAAACAGAGGAAAATTCCAGTTTCTTCGATTTCGGGATTTTGACAAACGCCTAATTTCACCTCAATGACTCACACATATAAAGGTAGAGAATGGAGTCTTACTGTTATCAGTAAGTTTTCATGATTTTTTGGAATAATGGCCAACAGTCTTGTCACTAGCAATACTTACATGACTGGGAAGCCAAGCAAAATGAATGGTTTTATCAGTTTGATGTAGGAATTGTAGTTTGATAAGGTCCATTTAAAAACACATTTATTATGTGTGGATTTTACTGAAAAAATGTTGATTGAAGGCACCACAATGTAAATTTGCAGTTTCTAAGGACTCTCTAGCTTTGAAAGTCGCCGAACTTTTGCAGCCATTTTCTTGCTACTTTTACCTCTGAAACCAGGCAACCCCCACCTCTTTCAATTGCAAATATCTCAACTTTCATTCATGATAGATGAGTATTATTTTTCACCGAAAGCAAGACAAATGAACAAGCTCAATAACTCCACATGTCCAAAAATTGACGAACGCCTGATTCCGCTGCATCGTGACACATATAAATTTAGAGAACACATCGTACCCTCTTGGACTAAAATTTTAGACTAATAAAACAGGAACAAACTCCACAACAGCCAGCTTAGGCTTTTGCCCAAGAAACCAGTGTCCCTTATTTGAAGAGAAAGAACAATTTTTACCCATTTAGAAATTGGACACATGCATGTCGAGTTAAAACACCTTTTTGAAAGAAAAGAAGACTCTTTTAGTATGACATGCAACTTTTTTAAAGAACTCTTCCACCCATTCTGTCAGAATGTGTTAAATGATGCAGGTTTGGAATATTATAAACGTAAAGATATTAAAACCCTTTTTGATGTCATTCATCCAAAGACTATCTTCTATTGTATCAATGAAAATATGATTTATTCTAGAAAAATATAACATTTCAAAACATGTATATTATTATGTGTACAAATTGTAAAAAGGTAATTTTTTTTACTATATTTGCTGAGAACATCATAGATGTCTGCTTGTCTTTATAGCCTATAGTTAAACATGCATCAGTTTTGAAACTCATATTGTGTCAATAGTGCCATAATGCATTTATTCAGTTATACATCTCTCAGACTTAAATATACATATAATAAAAATATTCATTTTGTTCAGTGTTGTTTGATTTTGATAAACATGCTGGCGAGAGTAAATTTCTCTAAATATCAGACTACATAAACAATATAAAATATGAACAGTTTAAATTTCTTTCTTTCTACTAAGGCCTAATACTCATAGTGAGAACGGGGTGAAAAGGGGAGAGCCAAACAAAAATGCAATCCCATCTATTTTTAACAGTTTATAATGTGGTTTAATGTATCAATCTAGTCTCATGTGATTCAATTTCTTGGAAAATATACATTAAATAAAAATCAACTGATGTTCCACACTGCAGTGTTATTGATATTTAGGTATCTTTTAAAAAAAATAAAATTCAAACTTTATTTCAGTGATTTGTTTGGTTGATGTGATTTCTGCGATGTATTAGAAATAGTCTAAAAAATAATATACTGACGGTAATAAATGTTATCCATGTCTCATTTTGGTTGGAATTTCTTGAAGAACTAGCAGTGTAGGTCGAGGGGGGGGGGGGCGAAGGGGAGGAGGCATGAGGAACTTTCACAAATATCATAATTGCCACAATGGAAAACAAAAGTAATGCAGATCTTATTTGGTGAGTCTTTGACTATACCATGCAATAGGCCTACATTTAAATTGGAGACAGAGAAAAAGAGGACCCTGAATAAAACTGAGCAGTACAGTAATATGATTTTCGAAAAATAAGTGTTAAAACTGATCTTGATTTAAGGGCTGGTGGGGCACCTAAAAATTGTGTTTTTGGGTAAAATTATGAAAACTGGGATTATCACTTATTATATTTCCTGGATATTTCCTGAACAAAGTCCAAAAACGAATGAAAGCTTTTCTGTACCCTAAAGTGGTGTTTGGGGGATTTTAGAGCAGAGGGTAGAGACTTTTTAAAAGAAAATATGCAAAGCCTTTCAAAGCCATTTATAAGCTGAACAAAGGCAAAGAGTCTGGCTCTGATCAGCTTCTATCAGTGGCAATTTGGATGCACTTTGGTGACAGGTCTCCCTCTGCCAATGTTTATTTGGAAAATATTGAAATGAGGGCAGGTTCCTATGTGACTGGAAAGACCAGATAAAAATGGGATCTCAGCAATTGCAACAGCAACTACAGAGGTAGTTCTTCTTCCCATACCAGGAAAAGACGTCAACCAAATCGTGTTGGAATGAATCCAGACTGCAACGGATCCAAGATTTCTGGGTGAACAGGCTGATTTTCAGAAAAAATCGATCAACCCCTGACTAGCTTGCCACGCTGAGAGTCATAACAGAGCAATCTGTTGAGTGGAACTCTCTGTTGTTTGTTTGTCAACTTCCTTGACTATGAGAAGGCCTGAGCACAGACAGCAAGCACTGAGTAAAATATGGAATCCCGGAGAAGTTGGCGAGCTCTAACTAGAGCATGTATAAATGGACAAGTTGCAGGATTGTATGCCTACATAATTATGATGGCCAGCTAGCTCAATGACAGCTTTGAGAGGGGTCTTCGTTATCCGACCTTGTGATATTGACGATCAATTGGCTGATGAAAGAAGTTTAGGTGTTTGCGTCTCATTCAAAAGAATCAATAGGTTTCGGGTTCGAATTCGAATAGCGACGGAAATTTTTCTATTCTAAAAGTGTCTCCTTTCACCTCCTTTCCTGCTCTCTAACAATGTTATGACGTCTGCTTTCGCTTACACTTTCTGCCCCCACCTCGTCACCTTCTTTCCCTCCTCTTCTGGGCTCTTGACTCTTTCTGCAGCCTTTCTACTGGCACTCCCTGCCTCCTTCTTACTGCTGTCTTTCAGCCACACCGCTGATCTTGTGGTAGGAAAGATCTACACCTTGCCTTCTTGGACAAAGGCGAAAATCTTGGAGGTCCTGTGTACAAGTTGTACACGTTAAAGATCCCTTGGTAGTCCGAAAATCGATAAGACTAGTAGGCTTCGGCAGCCACCGGGGCAAAATTTTAAATTTCCTACCTACTGAAAATTTGTAATGTGTCCCGCGCGCTTATATGACCTTATGCAGTTGGGATCGCCGTAAAACACTTACCAAAAAAAAACAACCCGAAAGAAACCGCTACAGGATGCCACAATTGCATTATGTGGAGCTCATGGGCACAATTGAATTATCTTGACTTTTGCAGATGACTTGGTATTGCTGTCGCACACACAGGGTTAGATGCAAGCAGAGACCTTAGTTTTAAACAGCCGATCAGAAACTGTTCTACTGAGGGTACACCTGAGAAAGTCAAAGATCCTATCGATAGAAAAACCACAAAAAGGGCAAGTTACAGTAGAATGAAATGCCCTCAAAGACATTGAATCCTTCTGTCATCTTGCGACCAACACCTGAAAGACATTGACTACTTTCATATCTTTGGACAGATATCTTACTTCGAACGAAGATTAGGATTTTCAACTCTGATGTGAAGTCAGTCTTGTTGTATGGTTGTGAGACATGGAATACATCTCAGATTTGCATAGAAAAATCCAGGTTTTTCTTCAACAAGTGTCTGGGAAAGCTATTCAACAGAATCAGATGGACAGACAGGGTCACCAGTGGGGGGGTATTTAAGGAGAACAAGACATAGCCCAGTCGGAGCTGAAGAGGGAGAAAGGTGGTGTCGATGGATTGGACATAGCCTACCCTCAAGAAGGCAGGCAGCAGAGCCGCATAACAAAGAAAGTAAGGTTGGATTGGGAGTAAGAGGGTAGGAGATCGAGGGGAAGGCCTTATGGAACCGGGGAAAGAGAATGATGTGCAGAAAATTGGAATAACGTCAAGAAGTTTGTCCAAGGCAGGGAGAAGTAGAAAATAATTTTCGGCGGCCTTTACCCTGATCCGGGGTGAGAAAGGCGATGATGAGGTCTCCCACAAACATAAAATTAGTTGGAACTTCACGACACACGTTTGGTGAGCATTTGTTTATCTGACAAGTTCTAATAAAAAGGTGAGAACGAAATATTTTCAGAGCTTTTTTCCACGACTTTTCTTAAGTCTGTATTCATGTGTGCATGAATGACCTGCTAACGTATTAGGCACACAGAGGTGTGATCAAACGTAAACCGTTTTGGGCGTTTGGTCTGCTCTGTTTTCAAGAAACA